CAGTTTCAAACCTAACTATAATAGAGACTAGGTAGATGCTTAACGTTGTCTCTCTGCTGCATTAAAATTGGCATTTATAGCAAACAAATAAGCATTCTACAATAAAGAAATACGCAGAGCGAAACGTAGCTGTCTCACGTAATTTTTTTCTCCAACGCAAGTGATTATTATCATTAAAATCATAACATTTAGTAAGAATTTTAAAAATATAATAATTAATAAATAAAAAGTAAAAATTAATCATTAATAAAATTAATTAATAAGGGGTCGCATTAACAAAAAATGGCTTTTTCTGATATTATTTTATTAATAAGAAACAACGTTCAATAAACCAGTTTAATAAAAAATTGTGGGGGGAAAAAGCCTCTCATATCACAGCTGAAATCAACAGATCAAATATCCTCTTCCCGAAAGCAGACACCGCTAAACAAGGCCTCTCTCGCTGCTATTAAAAACGTAACATCTTTATTATAGCAGATCGCTCAGTAATGTGTAGTATACATTACAACCCTCGAGCAACGACGCCATGATATTGCTTACAACTATTTCACGAGAAATTGTGTCTGTTTGTCGGAATTTATTACTTCTCGTCCCATCTGTCTGACGGGGGAAAGGAACACAATGGCCGCGTAATGGAACGCGGTGGCAGGGACAATTATTGTTGTCACCTATAGGACGCAAACGCGTCGCTTGGCGGGTTGGGTTTCAACGGACCCGACGCAGGGGTGGACTTTTTTTTTCACTCTCTGAGCTTGGTTTGTGTAACGTAATACTCGCGATGAAATGTGTGTGACGAGATTTAATTTTGAAAAAGAGTGGGCTTATTCTATACATTTATTATGTTATTAAATTTTGTTTTGAGTACCATTTTTTTCTCAAAAAAAAAAAAAAAATGTGGCATTGCTCAGAGTACAGGTTTTCGAATATTGATTAATATTTAACAAAAGTTTCATCTGCTCTTTAAAGGTATTTACAAGAAATAGTGACCATATCAATTATCTGCTCTCTCTCTCTCTCTCTCTCACACACAGCACTGAGAACTCGCCCAGTAATATACAAAGAGCAATGGCCACAGTGCTAGATATTTCCTTTGAAGGCTCTAGAAGAAGGCCCTTGATACCAAAGTATGATTAATAGGTTATAGATGTCTAATAAGATCAGTAGAAATGAAAAACAAAATTCAATTCTTAAAAAAAAAAGCTATTCCTTTTCATTATTTGAAATGTAAGTCTTTTCCCCAGGTGCAAAAGAATTAAAAGTGGAAATGAAAGAAAATGTCACCCATTGTAATTTGTTCGTCGCACACACACAATTGACCGGTGTGATTTATTCTAATAGGCCTACAAATTGATACGTTAATAATTGATTCAAATGTACGTTTTCACTGAGACATCATGAGCAGCTGTATAAAGACGGGAAGAGGGACGCAGTCAAAGGAATTTTGGTCGCTTAATCTCACTAGAAAAGAGTTTCTTTAGCCTTTGTAGTTTGTGACAACTGTGATCAATAAATAATTGTGTAAACAATTTTATAAAGAAAGGATTCAGCTTACATAAGAGATAGATAGATAGGAGTGAACATTTAAAATAGGAATTAAGATATCAAGAAATGAAACAAAATGAACAAACAAAATAAAACGAATAAATAAATAACCACATTAGGAAATGTGTTTCACGGTATCATTTTAGACAATTTTCTATGATGTGCCAGACCTTCTAAAACTGCCCCCCCCCCCTCCACACACACACACACACACACAATCCTATATGAACAAAAACCTAAAGGCTGCCCCCATACTTTTCTTCACGTGGGAACTCGATCAGAAAACAAAAAAAGATTAATCAAATATATTATAACCCTCTCTCAACCCACACTTGATGTCCAGTGCACGCGTGATTAGCTCCCGATGAATTCCTACATTTCAAAGATCAACTCCGCGTCTGTATATTAAATCGCCAACTTTATTAAAGTGTGTTCCGAGGCCTTATTAACCGCTATTGGAGAGATGTCGAGACTCAGTGGGATGCTACCCAACCACCAGCGGTTGACATAATTAATTTGAAGTCACGAGAGATTCGTCACTGTCCCAGGGACAGGTGGGGATGATAATGGAATATTTCTTGGCGCTTTAAAATGTTTTGGATCTTTGAGACTCTGCTACATTATCGCCATATTTTGAGTCGTACTTTGCATAGAATGTGGCTATATTTCGTAAAGTGTCTTTTCATTAATGTTAAAGCTCCTTAAATCATAAAGAGGAAGAAAAAGGTAAAAGAAATGTTAAATCACATCTAAACCATAACAATGGGTTTTAATGACAGTGAAAATATCTTTTTAAATCAGTTATGTTTCTGGAAATTCAGTACTGATGCTTTCTTTGAATGAGATCTGTTGCGGCTTTTCAGTTTTTGTTTTACTTCGCTCTAGAAATGCCTTTGGTCAATAGTAAGAATTTTTTTAAACTCAAACATACGGGCCTTGTATTACACATTTTTTTAAATCTATACAAATTTTTTGATCCCCATAGACTCATAGTTATTTTAAGTGTCGTTCTTCTTAATCAAAACATTTTTCACTTTAAGTGGCGCATGTTATTCGGTTTGCTGTACAGTTATTCTAAGTTAATTTCTTTTATTATCCATTTAGACATTTAAAGTAATCAAAGCGAAAAACATGTTTCAAAACTTATTTATTGTCAATTCAAGCAATATATGATAATATACTGATAATGTTATTTCACGTGTATCGAAAGCGATGTAGGTGCATTAATCCATTATTGTATAATATATGCATTTGTTTTCATATCTGCAGGTTAATATATTTTGAATTGAGATTTACAATGGCGTATTCCGAGTATATCCCATAAATGTAAAGTTTTGCATCATGTCAGAGATGCAAAGAGTCTCTTAAATACAAAAAAAAAAGACCTAGATCTACGCCTGTACATTAGCCTACACAGACTTTTCAGATTAGAAATGTCTTTCATTCCTCTCTCTCTCAATTTAAGAGTGACGAAGAAGAATATCAGTGCGAAAACCAACGCGCATAATAATTCCCCGCACGTGTATTTCAAACGACCAATAAAAGCCTTGCGCACGCGCAATTTTTACCATGGCCGCCAGTGCCTTGTGTGGTTTCTGCCAATACAATTTCCTCTCGGAGACACAGCCTCGTTATGAAAATTAAAGTTCTCGTTTGAGGCGTCCCTTTTAACGTGACATTCAATGCCACTTTCCAAGCCGTCAGAAGCGATTCCTGATAAAAGAGGAAACTGATGGCGGGGGATTGGGTAAGATCGTCTTTGCACTTGCATTGGGATAGCGCTGTGGTTGTCGAAACACGCATATGTTCCAACATTTTGAAATTGCGCATGCGCACACAAGCACGGACAGTTGACGCCCACGGGGTTGCAACCATTTTGGGAAGTGCCCACCATCATGGGTCCATAATTTGGCGTTTCGTGTTGAAAACGCTCTCCCAGCCTGTAGTTAATGTTCTCGTTGTTTCTCGTGGGATTTCTCGGTAGCGTCGCTATGGACTTGGCAAGGTGCTGGAACAACGCCTCGCGCAGTCCTCCCCCGGAGTCCTTAGTGGTACTGAGGAAGCGTGTGATCTCTGCTGTACAGTCCACGTAGCCTGCCCGGAACTGGTCGCTGCTATCCGGAGGCTGGGTAATACCGCCTGGAAAAATGAAGAGATATTTCTTAGATAAACTGAGAGTTTACGTTCAAAACAAATGAATAAATCGATAAACGCGTAATAATAATTTCATGCACAGATTTTTTTTTTTTCTTTTCGTTTTTTTTTTTTTTTTTTTTTTTTTTTTTTTTNACACACACACACACACAATCCTATATAAACAAAAACCTAAAGGCTGCCCCCATTCTTTTCTTCACGTGGGAACTCGATCAGAAAACAAAAAAGATTAATCAAACGTATTATAACCCTCTCTCAACCCACACTTGATGTCCAGTGCACACGTGATTAGCTCCCGATGAATTCCTACATTTCAAAGATCAACTCCGCGTCTGTATATTAAATCGCCAACTTTATTAAAGTGTGTTCCGAGGCCTTATTAACCGCTATTGGAGAGATGTCGAGACTCAGTGGGACGCTACCCAACCACCAGCGGTTGACATAATTAATTTGAAGTCACGAGAGATTCGTCACTGTCCCAGGGACAGGTGGGGATGATAATGGAATATTTCTTGGCGCTTTAAAATGTTTTGGATCTTTGAGACTCTGCTACATTATCGCCATATTTTGAGTCGTACTTTGCATAGAATGTGGCTATATTTCGTAGTGTTTTTTCATTAATGTTAAAGCTCCTTAAATCATAAAGAGGAAGAAAAAGGTAAAAGAAATGTTAAATCACATCTAAACCCTAACAATGGGTTTTAATGACAGTGAAAATATCTTTTTAAATCAGTTATGTTTCTGGAAATTCAGTACTGATGCTTTCTTTGAATGAGATCTGTTGCGGCTTTTCAGTTTTTGTTTTACTTCGCTCTAGAAATGCCTTTGGTCAATAGTAAGAATTTTTTTAAACTCAAACATACGGGCCTTGTATTACACATTTTTTTTAATCTATACAAATTTTTTGATCACCATAGACTCATAGTTATTTTAAGTGTCGTTCTTCTTAATCAAAACTTTTTTCACTTTAAGTGGCGCATGTTATTCGGTTTGCTGTACAGTTATTCTAAGTTAATTTCTTATATTATCCATTTAGACATTTAAAGTAATCAAAGCGAAAAACATGTTTCAAAACTTATTTATTGTCAATTCAAGCAATATATGATAATATACTGATAATGTTATTTCACGTGTATCGAAAGCGATGTAGGTGCATTAATCCATTATTGTATAATATATGCATTTGTTTTCATATCTGCAGGTTAATATATTTTGAATTGAGATTTACAATGGCGTATTCCGTGTATATCCCATAAATGTAAAGTTTTGCATCATGTCAGAGATGCAAAGAGTCTCTTAAATACAAAAAAAAAAAAAAAAGACCTAGATCTACGCCTGTACATTAGCCTACACAGACTTTTCAGATTAGAAATGTCTTTCATTCCTCTCTCTCTCAATTTAAGAGTGACGAAGAAGAATATCAGTGCGAAAACCAACGCGCATAATAATTCCCCGCACGTGTATTTCAAACGACCAATAAAAGCCTTGCGCACGCGCAATTTTTACCATGGCCGCCAGTGCCTTGTGTGGTTTCTGCCAATACAATTTCCTCTCGGAGACACAGCCTCGTTATGAAAATTAAAGTTCTCGTTTGAGGCGTCCCTTTTAACGTGACATTCAATGCCACTTTCCAAGCCGTCAGAAGCGATTCCTGATAAAAGAGGAAACTGATGGCGGGGGATTGGGTAAGATCGTCTTTGCACTTGCATTGGGATAGCGCTGTGGTTGTCGAAACACGCATATGTTCCAACATTTTGAAACTGCGCATGCGCACACAGGCACGGACAGTTGACGCCCACGGGGTTGCAACCATTTTGGGAAGTGCCCACCATCATGGGTCCATAATTTGGCGTTTCGTGTTGAAAACGCTCTCCCAGCCTGTAGTTAATGTTCTCGTTGTTTCTCGTGGGATTTCTCGGTAGCGTCGCTATGGACTTGGCAAGGTGCTGGAACAACGCCTCGCGCAGTCCTCCCCCGGAGTCCTTAGTGGTACTGAGGAAGCGTGTGATCTCTGCTGTACAGTCCACGTAGCCTGCCCGGAACTGGTCGCTGCTATCCGGAGGCTGGGTAATACCGCCTGGAAAAATGAAGAGATATTTCTTAGATTAACTGAGAGTTTACGTTCAAAACAAATGAATAAATCGATAAACGCGTAATAATAATTTCATGCACAGA